CTTGTCTGCTGCTGCAGCTGCTGCAGCTGCTGCTTCTTGTCTTTCTCCCGTGTTCATGATGCTCTGCTGCTGCTGCTGCTGCTGCTGCTGCTGCTGCTGCTGCTGCTTAGCAGCAGCAGCAGCAAAGAAACCCGCAGCAAGCATCCTGCCTGCAACTCCCAGCAGCGCGAAGAAGAGCAGCAGCCCTGCTCTCCCGCTGCAGCTGCTGCTGCTGCTGCTGCTGCTGCTGCTGCCGAGACACAACAAACAAGCAGCAGCAGCTGTCTGTACACCTGAATGAAAGCTTCTTGTTTCTGACGAAGAAAACAAACAAACTTCAATCGGCTGAAATACAAAAGAATAAAAACTAGAAAAACGCAAATAACCTAAAACCAAAAAACTAATTAAAAACAACAAAAACAACAGAGACACAAACAGTAACATTCCCGCTGCAGACAACAACACACACACACAGCAGCAGCAGCAGCAGCAGCAGCAGCAGCAGCAGCAGCAGCAGCAGAAGACAAAGCAAATGAGTTATATATATATACACCCCATACANAGCAGCAGCAGCAGCAGCAGCAGAAGACAAAGCAAATGAGTTATATATATATACACCCCATACAGTACATGTTCTATAAACTGTAAGATATCTATAAACAGCGTATATGCATGCATTAGGGTTTAGGGTTTAGGGTTTAGGGTTTGTGGTTGTTTTTGTTAGTGTTTATATTATTTTATTTTATTTTATTTTATTTATAATAAATTTATATATCTTACTGATGCGTATATCTGCAGTATACAGCCTGCTATCCTGCAGCTGCTGCAGCAGCTGCTGCTGATCTGCTGCTTGTCTGGCGAGAGAGACGCAGCAGAAGCTAACAACAACCAGCAGCTGCAGCAGCAGCAACCAGAGAGCAGTGTAGCTGCCGCCGCTGCTGCTGCTGCTGCCCCCGAACCTTATACGCAGCCCAAAGAAGCAGCAGAACAGCAGCAGCAGCGCATGCGGGGCCCCCCGTGTACACACAAAAACTAAAACAAAAGTAAATAAAGCGCCCAAAAATAAACTGAGGGTTTCCCACTTTGTTGGTAGTATATCTATTAGGGTGTATATACAGCTCTCTTTCTTTTTCTCTTTCTGCTGCTGCCGTTCGTATACACTCAGCCTGCTGCGCTCTTGTCTNTACAGCTCTCTTTCTTTTTCTCTTTCTGCTGCTGCCGTTCGTATACACTCAGCCTGCTGCGCTCTTGTCTCTGCTCTGCTTCTTGCTGCTGCTGCTGCTGCTGCTGCTGCTCCTGCTGCTGCTGCTGCTGCTGCTGCAGGCTTGCAGTGGATGCAGCGTCTTCATCTCCGTGGGTTATGCTTGATGCCCGTGTCTTTGTCTCCTTTGCTGCTGTCTCTTCTTGCTGCAGCAGTTTGCTGCTTTCTCCTGCTGCTGCTGCTGCTGCTGCTGCTGCTGTTGCTGCTGTTTGTTGCTGCAGGGCTGCTGTCTCCCTGTCTCCTGTCTCCGTTCTGTCTCCTTCTGTCTCCTTTTTGTCTCCTGTCTCCTCTTCTTCTTCTTCAGGGAGAACGAGTGCTGTGTCTGCTGCTCTTACCTCGGTTGCTGCTGCTGCTGCTGCTGCTGCTGCTGCTGCGGGGGCATCTGCTGCATCTGCTGCTGCTGCTGCTGTTTCTGTTTCTGTCTCGTGAGCTGCTGCAGCGCTCTGGTCTCTCTGCGGAGTGGCCGCTGCCTGAGCAGCAGACGCGGCTGCTGGTGCTGCTGCTGCTTCTTCTTCTGCTGCTGCTGCTGCTTCTGCTGGTTTCTGTTTGTCTTGACTTTGTTCACGTGTGTTGTGTTGCTGCTGTGTGTCTGCTTGCTGCGTGTTGCTGCTGCCTCTTTCTGGGGTTTCTTCTGCTGCTGCTTCCCCTACAGTTTGTGTTGCTGCTGCTGCTGCTGCTGCTGTTGCTGTTGCTGCTGGTGTTGCTGCTGCTGCTGCTGCTTGTGTGTGGGGTTGATCTGCTGCTGCTTTTTTTTTCTGTGCTGCTGCTAGCAGCTCCTTGGACTGCCACTTTCTGAGCATTTGTTTGAATTCGCTGCGCTGCAGTTCAGGTGTATCGGCAGCTGCCTCGGGTGTCTCCGCAGCTTCTGCTGCTGCTGCTGCTGCTGCTGCTGCATCTGCTGCTGCTGCATCTGCTGCTGCTGCTGCTGCTGCTGCTGCATCTCTGCTGCTGGTGAGGTTGCTGCTGTCTGAAGGGCTCTGCGTCTGCTCTGCTGCGTGACAAGGGAGAGGCTGGAACAGAGGAGACAGCTGTCTCTCTCTGTCTCCTTGCTGCTGTCTCCTTTCTCCGCCCCACCGCAGCTGCCCCGAGGCCCCACGGAGCGGCGTCTGAGCCCCCCACTCTGCAGCAGCAGCAGCAGCTGCTGCTGCTGCTGCTGGTGCTGTTGCTGTTGCTGCAGCAGCAGGAGGGCAAAGGGGAACCACTCTCTGCATGCTCTTCTGCTGCTGGTATGTCTTTGTTGCTTGCTGCTGTCTCCTTTCTGCAGCAGGAAGATTTCTTCTGTCTCCTTCGTGTATAAGCTGCTGTCTCCTTTCTTTTTCTCTGCTTCTTGCTGCATGCACTGCAGCAAAAGAGGCCCTTAGTCTCCTCTGACACCCCCCCACGCCGAGGTGTACATACACCCGAAGGGCCCTCACTCGATCACGCAGCAGCAGCCGTGTCTGCTGCCTGGCTGTTAGCAGCTTCTGCTGCATCGGCAGCAGCAGCTGCTGCTGTGTCTTTCGCACCGCTCTCTCCAGTCTCCTTGCTGCNCCCGCAGCAGCAAACCGCCGCCTGATAGACCCCTTGCAGTGTCTGTACACCCTCTGAAGGGGCTTAGCAGCAAAAGACATACGGAGAGTAGATTGTCTCTCTCTCCTTTGTGTTGCTGCTGCTGTCTGCTGCTGCAGCAGCAACTGTCTCCTTTCTGCAGCATGAAAAGGAGACACCGATACACCCGAACCAGCAGCAGAAACTTTGCTTGTCTTCGCTGCCCTCATTCGGCTGTCTGCAGCAGACACAGGGGCCCTCAGGGGGCCTCCCCGGGGGCCCCCCACGGGGGCCCCTAAGGAGATACCCCTTTTTGACGAGGGGCCCCTAGATTGCGTTCTGAGCAAAGGGGAGGCGCTGACATCTGCAGCAGAGAAATAAAAAAAAACAAAATTATTTTTTCTTTTTTTATTTTTTCTTTGTTTTGTTTTGTTTTGTTTGTTTTGTTGGTTGAGAGGGAAGAAGAAGAGAAAGGGGAGAGAAAAAAAATAAAAAAAAAAGAAAGAGGGGGGAGGAGAGATAGATAGAGATAGAGAAAGATANAGGGGAGAGAAAAAAAATAAAAAAAAAAGAAAGAGGGGGGAGGAGAGATAGATAGAGATAGAGAAAGATAAAGGAGACAGAGAGGCAAAGGAGACAGAGAGAGATAAAGGAGACAGAAGAGACAGAGAGACAAAAGAGACAGAAAGATAGAGGAGACAGAAGAGACAGAGAGAGAACCAAATAAAACAGAAAGAGACAGACAGAGACAGCGAAGACAAAAGAGACACAGACAGAGAGACAAAGCAGACACAAGCAGAAAGAGACAAAGAGAAAAAGTATAGAAAAGATAAAGAGACAGAGCAAGAAAGAGAAAGTACAAAAAGAGACAGATACAGAGAGAGACAGCAGGAGAAGAAGAAGAAGAGACGGACAAAAGACAACGAAGAGACAGAAACACAAAAAAAAAATAAAAAGAAAAAGAAAAAGAGAGACAGAGTAAACAGCAGAGGAGACACCTCATCTTACTGCGCCTTTTGCTTCTGTCTCCTTGCTGCGAGTAAACTGCAGAAGGGCCCAAAGAAATACCATTTGATTGAGGGGGCCAAGGAGAAGAAGAAGAAGAAGAAGAGGAAAGAGGAGGAAAAGAAGTGGGAGAAGAAGAAGAAGAAGAAGAGGGGGGGGTGACG